GTTAAGTTTATGCATATGTAAGAAATATTAGATGGATTAAAATCATTCATTGATTGTCGATGATTCATTCTGAGAAATTTCACATTTGAGAATAGCAGAATAGTAAAGTAAAAGGCGGGGGGCTTTGAAGATGGAATGATAATTTGTGAGCAAAAATTGATGGAACAATTCGAACCTTATTTGGACATATTCACCAATGCAAGTTTTTCTCAAGACTCTGTTATGAATAAATACATCACAGCTGCTACTGCAATTTTCCAAGTCACCAATTCGTAGCAAATTACAATATTTTGTTGTTAAGGGCCATTTATACACAGGAGCATATGCAAAACGTGCCTGTTAAACAATAGTTCTTCATTTTTTTACTCTTAATGTATTAATATGTTGAATAGCACTTTCATACTTGAGATAATGACAGTTGAGGAATAGCCTCCTCGAATATAAATGCATTAGACGATGCGTGAAATTCAATTCAATAAAATGCATTCGTGCAGTCAACAAAATTAATTCTACAATTCCAACCCTTCTCAAAACAGAAGTCAGACCACATGAACCCCACAATCATAATACTCAATAAGGGATTTCTTTCCAACCCCTTTTTCACCCATCAAAGTGCAAAAACATCTGATTGCACATGTTTCCGATGTTGTCCAAAGGTCATGGTCTGCGCAACTGCTTTCAGCCATCTCTAAAATTATCTAATGGATGTAATTTATTAGTTAGAGCTATTTTTCTTATATCGTTCCTTAAAAATTACCGATTCTTTCTGCGACTGAGGTAATTAAATTTCATCTAGTGATGGTCACAACATAATTCGCTTTTTAAATACGTTTGGGAAACTTAAGACGAATAGCTTGACGTTTTCTTGAATAAATAAAATGGAATTCCTCAATGTGATGAAAACAGGTCGCCCTCTCGACGGATAATCCCCCATATGATAAACATAGATGAAACTGTTCATCAATGTTCAAGGTTTTACTGCGCTATTGAGTCTGCTAACTGATAAATTATTGCACTTATTGTATTACTCACGCTATGCGAAGAATTTCGTAAAAATGCTGCAACAATTTCTTCACTGACCTTCTTTTTCGCCTTATTGACATGTTCTTGTGTGATCTGTGGGAGAAATGACAAGACACATCATATTCACCGAATGGGAATGCATATGGGTCACACCACTTGTTCCAAGTACCTCATGCTTTTCTACAACAAATGTTGGCTGTTATGACCGTGTATTCATTTATCAATTCACCAAAAGAAGACATTCTAAACCCCAAATTCTATCAGAATTTCGTAATATAATTTCGCCTACAATGATCGAAAATTTTCGGATTTGTTGAATTTCGAATAATTTCGATTTTTTTATTAAACAATTAAAAAAAAAATCTTACGTCAATAAAGCATCAAAATCCGACTACTCGTTTTATCTTTTCCGTATTGATAAATTCGATTTTCCCTTGGTTCCATGTTTGAATTATTTCAACTATTCACCTAGGTTCCCCATTTTTTTCCTAATCATCAGATTCAATATACTTTTTCATGCTGTCCTGGAATTATTTATTTTGTTACGGTCATCTAGCAGGTGAATGAGCAATTTTTTAAAATGAAAACAAATACCACAAATTTCGGTATTAGGAAAAATTTCCTTAAACATGAACCTTATAGATGTAAAAAAATAATTGAATTTCCACAACATTTAGTGTACGAATATCTACAGAGTATAATTCAATCAATTGAGTACTACTTTCAAAGAATTTTTGAAAAGTTGAAGAATATGCCTAGTTGCAGATTTTTTTACAATTCCCTGCTGAAAGTGAATAAGTGACCTACAGTTTGGATTACTATTCATTTCCTAAATGGAGCATTGGCTACTATGAACCTGGCAAGTCAATTTTGTTTCAATTATCTTATTTTGTTCTCACCTTTCTTTTTTTTTTTGTGTTCTTGACACTGACCTCACCATCTTCATCAACTTCCTGAGGCATACTGTCATCGAACAGACTAGTGTTTAGTTTGGGAATGGCAATCCTCTTCCCATTCGTTATCTTTTGTAACTCTTCCAATTTTCCTGAAATTTGATAACACATTAGCTATAAATCCAGATATGCGAAATATTTGAGAAACGAATAGGGCAGAATTCTTATTTTATTCTTTCATTAGATCATTTAGTGAAATGTAATTTAATTTGAGCAACCAAAGATGTTGCACTTTCCGTACAATACGAGTTTATCCCAACGTTCTTCAAAAACAATAGTTGAATCACGGTAGTTAATAGAAGACTCTATTTGGTCAAGGCTGACGTTCAAGGTTTGAGAGTTCAGCAGAAAGAATTGTGGAATACACGGTGTAAACCTAACCTCTGTTGATTTAATGCAAGACTAAATGAAAATTAATTTATGAAATGTTGATGAAAAATTCCAAAGTTGAAAATCAAATGTCACCTACCGTGTGCTGCTAAAACTTGAACCTTCACAGTTTTTCCATTGTCAAGAATTCTTTTATAAATTTTTTTCACTCGCTCCTGCGGGTTCTCTTTGAGGTATGCCACAATGCTAAAACCTTCAAGTTCGGCACCGTCAATAATATTATGTTTCCCACTTCTGGGATTGAATATCTGAGCCCAACCCATCGT